AATTCAGCCTGTGGTATTTGGTATTTTTTAGGAGACTCTGTGGTTTCCTCTTGAATTTAAAATACAGTTATGTGGGTTTGTACAATGTGCACTTTCTGCACAACATAAATTTGTAATGACCGAGCCCTCAACCATCGCTCTACATGTGACTGCTTCTAAAATACGGGTTGAAGAGAAGAGAGAGTCCACTCAGCAGCTCCAGCAGATCTGTCTGCATGCTTCTCCACGTGTCTGTATACAGTTTTTATGCCTCTTATAAATCCATACACAACCCACATTCCCCTTTATAGAAAGGTCAGCGTTCTAAACTCGGAGAGGGCGATATCAATCAGTCTTCCAGCGTAAATGCCATTTTCGACTTGCCGAAGCCTGTCATTGGGGGGATACCTCCCGAGGAGTGACTCATCCCAGACTTGTACTCCCTGGGCGGTGTGTTTAGAGAAGTAGCCTGAGCGGGACGGGGCTGCACTGTTTCTGGGAACACTCTGGCAGCAACCCTGTAGCCTGTGTTCCCTCAGAATGACTCAGAAAGCTGCAGTGAGTTGTAGTCAGGTGGACCGCGGCGTCCTCATCCAGCTTCTTAACGTTGGTTGGCGAGGACGTCGTTGGGAAGACAATGAGAGGAGTACAGTGTGAGGGTTTTGTCGAGCAGCAGTGCATTTGTTTTATGCTTCTTTGTGCTGGTTGTGTGATTTTGTTCTTAACTTGTGTCAGTGAGGCATAATAAGACCTCAGTGCCAGTGTGTGTGTGTGTGTGTGTGCGTGTGTGTGCGTGTGCCAGCTCCCCAAGGTGCCCGTTCTGTCAGGCTGTAAAGTGCAGCAGTCACCTCCACGGGGGCACAAAGGGGTGCCTTGCTGACACCAACACACACAGAGAGACCTACACACACACACACACAAGAGAGGAACAGAGCGATGGAGAGGAGGAGGAGGAGGAATCCCTTTACTGACATCACAGCACCTACAGCTCACAACACAAATCCAGTTGGCAAAAACACAAAGGTTGAGACTAATGACTATTTTCTTTACGGATTAAATTCCCCAGAGAGAAGATGATGTACATGTAAACAAATAGCGTGACATTATAAAACCGAGAAAAGCTGTTGCCAACAATTAAAACCAGCAAGGTTTTGTATCTTTGCTTTTTAAAATGATTTAAATCAATAGTGACTGTTTTACTTTTAGAGGCCTGAGCAAGTACAATGATCCAATAATTCTCTCGAAAAAAGAAAATATTGGAGAAAAGTCTAAAAAATGTATTTATAGTTTGTGTAGCAAAATCTCTCATTTCTGTTCATCTCATGACCTCTTAGATCTATCTTGTGACCTTTTATTCTTTAACCACTAACCTTAAAGAATAAGACATTCTATACTTTTCTTTTTTTCAAACTGATTTGTTCTTACTGAAGATGTAAATCTATAAAAACAGGACATAAATACATACATACATTTTTAGGAATGCTCAGTATGTTCCTAAAACAGCTGGACACTGTAAACAAAGTGTTGGGAACTATTTACAGCTGCGGATTAATACCCAATTGGTGTTACGTGGGACTGACTCTACTGTCAACGGTCGCTCAGGGCAACGCTGTGGCTCATTGGATGTGTTTTTAATAGTTATCCTTTAAACGATGAACCCAAACTGTTATTTTCTGCGAATCGACTCAAGATGAAATGAATAGATTTTAAGTCAAAGACACACTGAGAAATAAACATGTACCTGAAAATGATTTTCCACTGTGTGTGATTGAGAGGATTCGGCACATCTTCTTGGCATGAGGTGTGTAAGGGGAGGTGTTCAGCCACATTGCTACGATGGTTCCTGTCAGTCATGGCTGTCACATGGGACGCTATCCTCTGCATTCATAAAACACTGTCCTGTTACAAAGAAAGGCATTATTATAATTCCCAAACACCTACAAGTCCTCCATGCCCTCCTGTTCCTGGAAGGGTCTCTGAAGAAATGCTTTTTGACAAGATATATGAAAACAATAATCCAGCTCTTTCTGCCATGCCCCATCAGATCTTCTGCTGCAGATGTGTTTCTTCTTAGTATTCACTGCACAGTGGTGCAGAGTACAAAGAACTTGGAGCCTAATATCAGCACAGTACTCAAATGACTGCCTTTGCAAGACAGGAGTCAAATTTAGCCTCATCTGGTTAAAATTAGAAACACAATTTCATTTTTGGGTTCTCAAATAACACCTTGTTTATCTGTGTCCACTTCCTGAGAATCAATCACTAATCCCACATCAGGTCATAGCGGTGCAGAGCGGTGCAGAGCGGTGGAATCGGGATTATAATGGGAAATGGCAGTCTTTTAGAAGGAAAAGCACTGGAGTGAGTCCAGATTGTTCACTGCCCTTTCCTGAGGTCATGTTTTGGTCTGTGCTGTTTGGAAGACAAACTCCTCATCCCCTCTGCGTTGAGTGCAGCCGCGGCATCTCCCACTCCACATCAGGGTTAGACAATGCCTGGCAAACATGAGGAGGGGGGACCACAGGAACACTTACATAACAACTCAACCAGTTACATATACACTTATTTTTGTTTCTTTTTCTTCTTGTTTATGGAAATGACCCCTCCCCTGCTGGTGCTACCACTGCGTATGAGACCATGAGCACACGTGAGCAGGATTTATGTATTCCTGCATCTGTGATGAAGGTTTTATTTTGTCATAAATCCCTGTATGGAGTGTATGTGTGTGTGTGTGTGTGTGATGGAGCCGCGCTCTGGTAATCTTGTCGAGTCAGGAACGTCCAGGCTTTCCCCATGTCAAATGCAGCAGATCTTATTTCAATATCAAGCCTGGGTTATTTGGAAACACGGCCAGTCCACATACATCAACGCAAAGGCCAGTTCAAAATGCAAAGTGAATTGATTCAGAAGCTCAGGAGCTATATATTCAGTATATTAGACAATCTTTCATACAAGTTACTGCATATGAAACGCTTGTGAAATTGTTTCCAGTATTTGCATGGTAAAGAATTTCCAGTCACACAACCCACCTGTTAGCTCTCCACATGGAACATAACTCCAGATTACAAAAAGGCTGGAAACAGGCGATATAACTGAATGGAGGAGACATCCATGACAGAAGTTGCTTGTGGTTTCTACGGCAGAACTTTTTGTCACTTTGATGGATGATGCAGAGAAATTCGTTAGTGGGTGCAGCGGAGGGGAAGCATATTGACAAAGTAAATAACAGAAAATTGCGACCAAAGTGCATATTGAAGCAGAGTTTTCAGACTGTGAGGCGAGGGAGAGAGTTATTGTAGTTTGGCTCTCTTACCAACACGTTTAACAGTTTCCATTAGTGTCTAATCACCTGAAAATAAGAATCGTTGTGTGTTTGCTACCTTAGAATGAGCTGTTTGAGGCTGCCATGTTTGAACCACCGTGATTCTACAGTAGCGCAGAACAGTAAAGCCAAACACTGGCTCTCCCACACACAGGAAGGCTATATTCAAATGGTTGCAATCTGTAACTTCACTGAATCCTACACACAGACTTCAGTTTACGTCAAAAATTGCACTCCTTCTTGGAGTCAAATCTCAACACACAGACATTAAACACATATTTTTAGATACAGTGTGATGTACACTTTACAAGGAAATCATTATCTCTATGTTCATCTTCAATAAACGCCCGTAAATCTGCTCAGAAATCTTATAACGGCAGAATTTGCCAGATCCAGAGATAGTTTTCTTTACATCCATGGATATATTGCAAACTGTAACTAATTCAACATACTTTTAATGGTGTCAATATGCTAAACTAAACAAATGCTAGCCATTTTACCCTGTTTATAGTTTGTATGCTAAGTTAAGCTGCTGGTGATTAATAGTTACCATACTGATATGAGAGTGTTATTATTATTATATTTTGAGCAAATGAGTGCATTTCCTAATACTGTCAAACTATTCTTTAATATGAGGGAGTATAAACTGTCATTTGCACTGGAGTGACGTCTAGCCTGTGGGCTTTGAGTTCTGCTTATTTGAAGGCTATTAACTTTACATCCAAACGTTTTTCTTAAATAGAGTGATGCATACAGTGCAGACCGCACACTGAGGCCTGCAGAGGAGGCATCGCTGAACAGCTCAGCTTTTGAAACGTATTACCACTTAAAATGCCAAAGATATCGGGTCTTAGCTCAGACTACAGCCCGCATGGTTTTCCAGTGACTGCACCAGGCACATATTAGCTGAATATTACCAAAGCTATTCTCATTCGGGGGAAAAAAAACCCTCTGCTTCTCAGCCGGTCTTAAACCAGCTGCCTTTGGCTAGCATCTGGAGTCACATGTCATCCTTCCTTTAAAAACAAAATGGCTCTGGTGGAGACAGCGCTGCCCAGACAGTTCCCAAACTGGCATTTGCTGATTGAAGAGCTTCCTGGGAGGCAGATACAGCTGCCTGTCTCCTTTCTCTGTTTTTTCGAAGGCAGACTACACTGACAGAAACCATAGAAACCCAGTGTGTGT